CTTGGGTGTGAGGCCTGAATGAAACTGAAATGGGGATGGACACAGTCTGGGCACGTCTACACAGCAGGACTAAACTCGAAATGAGCTACGCAACTTGCGCTACGCTAATTGCGTAGCTTAGGTCGAAATAACTTATTTTGACTTTTGGCGCTGTCTACACCGCAGTTATTTTGAAATAGAGCGCCCTTCCCCCGACTTCCCTTACTCCTCATACAATGACGGTTACAGGAGTCAGAGTAAGAAGCCCGTTATTTTGAAATTACTTCAAAATAACGGGCTTGCTGTGTAGACGCACACTACATTCTTTTGGAATGTCAGTTTTTCTGAAATAACGCTGCTGCGTAGACATAGCCTCTCAGTGCAAGGCTAGAGCAGACTGTAACCATGGTTTCAGAAATCTGTCCCAGTCTACACTTACTTTTCCACTGAGCCACCAGGATTTGTACCTGTCACAATTTAAAACAATATCTGTCAGATCCTGGTGTTTTTAATCCTGCCCTTTATCAGGCAGAAGAGGTTTGCTTGGGCCATTGGCGTCATTTGTTTCACTGGGATCTGGTTATTATAATAAATCAAATAGTCAAACCCTTCAGATATTTAGGGTATGTCTAGACTACATGCCTCTGGCGACAGAGGCTTGAGGATTAGGCTACTCGGCATAGGGAAATTATTTAAATTTAAATGGCTGCCGCGCTCTGCCGACCAGCTGTTTGTCAGCAGATCGGGGCAGTCTAGATGCCCTGCGGTCGACAAGGAAGCCTTTGTCGACCGGTGCAGGTAAACCTGGTTTCACAAGGCATACCTGCGCCAGTCAAAAAAGGCTTCCTTATCGACTGCGGCACGTCTAGACTGCCCCAATCTGCCGACAAACAGCTGATTATCAGCTGGTCGGCAGAGCGCGGCAGCCATTTAAATTTAAATAATTTCCCTATGCCGAGTAGCCTAATCCTCAAGCCTCTGTCGCCAGAGGCATGTAGTCTAGATATACCCTAAGAGACCTATGCACACATGCAAGGTCCCTGAGTGCAGGATGTTGTAACTGAATCTCAAATTGACTGAGAGGCTTGTTAAAACTCCTGTAGCCAGGCAACTCCCTGTTGATTCAAAGTCCATATTTTGTCCTCCACCTAACACACAGAAGTGGGTGGGAGTTTGGCATTAGAATCAGAGGTTGGGTCTGGCCAAACACCATATACTCTATAATATTAGTCCTTCTAGCAAGCATGAGTGATAAACTGCATTCAGGAGTAATGTCCCCTGTAAACTGAGTGCTGGGGTGGCCACCCAGAAGCGATTCAAATGCCACTCAGCTGTTTAGCAGAGCACCCACAGCAGGGGCTTCTGCTGGTGGAGCACATCCACATATGCCTCAGTGTACATAGCCAAATTTATTTCGCACATGGATGGAAACAATTAGGGGGAACACTGCTCCGGAGATAGCCTGTTTCAGGGCTGGAGCCTCTTGCCGCAAAGTTCATTTGGGAAATCCTCTCACAAAGGAGACAGAGAGCCATACATATCAGTAGCATTTCTTATCTACCCTGCATTCTTGGTTCTCACTGCTGGGCAGCACAGCATGGTTCTGCCCAAAGAGGCTTGTTACCTGAATTATGCAGAGGGCCACATGACCAGAGGCTGGTTAGAGGAGGTGTAAATGCACCAACAACAGCAGTGGGGGGGGGGAGGAGGGTAGGTACCCACACACACACACACACACACACGCTGCCAGCTGCTGTCACCTACTTTGCCTCTGGGATTCCTCCCCAGGGAAGGTTTAATTCCCTCTGGGAAGGGAATTCCATAGGGAGTCTGTGCTGAATTCAGTCATCCCAGCTAGCACCATCTACTGGAGGTTTTTTGGCCAAGCCAGCCCACCCTCCAGCAAAGATATAGCTACTTTCCACTGCAGAAGCCTCCCCAACGTCAGTGTTTCTGCTGCCCCGACTATTAACCTGTAGGGTGAGGGCTGAGTTATACCCTGCCTCCATTTGAAAGTGGTTTAACTGCCTTCCCTAATGTAAATGTCAGAAACCATTACACTCCTTTATGGAACCAGGTGGCTGAAACAATAGCACCCTTCACCCCAACCACAGGTACATGTCACAGCCCAAAACAAAGAGGGCTCTTTGGCTACTCTTTTGTGAAGCTCTGTATGTCTGAGAGAAAAAGCAGAAAGACCAGAGAAGGCAGCAAGGAAGCAACAGACAAAGCCTGAGCAAGACCTGGGAGCATGGCCTTGAGAAAAGCCTAGGGAGGCAGAGCTTTTGGGGCTGAGGGCTAGTGCAGAGAGGCTTTGACCTGTGAGAAAAACTGCTGGCCCCAGTGGTTTGATTCCTCCTGTGTTCAGGGAAACGGGACTTTGTACACAAACAGAATTGCACGAAAGATACCTGGCCTCGTCTTCGATTTCCTCTTGCAACTGAAACAGCCTGCAAGTAGGCCTGCCGACAGGGGGCATTCCAAAGGGCCCAGAATTCCCAGCCACGGCTGTGGAAGTGGCCAGAGGCCCCAGGCCTTTTAAATTGCTGCTGGAGTGCTGCACAGTCTGCCCCGGGCCCCACCCCTTCTGGGAGTGTGGCTTCGCCCCTGCACACCTTGCACAGGGGCCCAGCAAGGCTGTCAGCCCCCTGCCTGTGAAAGCCACATTTTTTAACTAACTGCTCTGTGCAAAAGGGATAACACAAAGTTTACCCCCTGGACTAGCTAGCCAGCTGGGCTGAGTATAGCCCCGGCATGGCAGTTCAGATATACGCTGTGATAAACCAGCTGAACAGCAAAAGGTTTTGGCACAGACAGTGAAGAGTTATGGCTTTCGTTAGTCACTCATCCCTGGAAGGTTTAATGGAAGTTGCAAGGTTTAAAGAGGGACAAGACTGAAGAGAATTCGGTCACTAGAGCTGGTTGGAAAATGGGGTTGTTTTCTGTGGTGATTTGTGACTTTTCACTGAAAAACTGAAAAATTTTGGCTAAAAATAAAGCCTAGATTTTCAGATTTTTGATGTTCTGACAAAAATGTTGAAGGGAAACATAATCTTACTGCAAAATTTACAAGTGGACAAACCCCAATAGAGAAAAGTGTTGATAGAATTTTTTTGCTAGCCCTATTGGTCATTTAGCAAACAAGAAAACTACTCCCAGCATAAGGAGCCACACGAGTAAGACTGGAAGGAGGTAAAAGAAGAGAGTAATTTAGCTGGAGCTGCAGGGAGAATGACAGAAGTCCTCAGAGGCTGCAGAAAGAGATGTGATCAGAGACAGGAGTGGAGCAGTGCAAAGCTCTACATGTGATAAATGCAAGCTTGGGCTTGATGCACAAACAAGGCGGAGAACAGCCAAAGGAGTGAAAGCGTGGAAATTCCAAGCAGTCGGGAAGATTTTCACAGTCATGTTTTAATGGGCAGATGGTGCAACAATTTAGCATGGCATCTGCTGCTCACCCCTCTAATTATACAGCTTCCTAAAGACACTAATATGCAGATCTGAGGGGAAGAAATTATCCTTAAGTAGCCAACTGGCTGTGTGTGTGTGTGTGTGTGTGTGTGTGTGTGTGTGTGTGTGTGTGTGTGTGTGTGCAGGAATGGGGATGGAAAGTGGTAGAAGTGAGATTTTAAGGAGGGCTTGTTTCTGTTCCCCCTCCTCCCCCTTTTTTGGGTAGCAAGTGGCATTATCCACTCTGCTGCTGCCATTCATCTATGGCACAAGATCACTTTTTGAATTTAAGTAAATCCAGGACCTACCCCAAACCTTGCCCCACCTCCTTCCTGCCCCTTCGCCGAGGCTGCACCCTGCTCATTCTGTGGAGATGGCATATAGGAGGAAGGGGACATTCTGACATCAGTGCCCCCCATTCCTGCCTCCCCCAAACTGCACAGCAAGCAGGAATCTTGGGGGGGGGGTCATCTTCAAGGCAGAGGGCAGAAACAGCACAGCAGTGGAAGGAGGAACAGGTGAAGTCCCACCTCCTGGCCAATCCAGGCAGGATCCCCTGTCAGAGGCTCCAAGTTCTATCAGTAGGTTGGTGATCACTGATCCAGTGGCAAGTTGCTCTTTCTTAACAAGCTCAACCCCAGTTTGGAGACTAAGGCCAGTGATCAAGCAGGAATCTGAAGCACAGTTTCTCCAAGTTTGAGTCTGGGGTTTTGGTTCACGCTCCTCAGTCTCTTCCCTGACCTACGGGAGGGTGGTGAGGGCTCTTTAATACTCTTGCGATATCCAGGGATAACCCTGAATTGCCACCCAAACTGCAGTTACTCTGATGCTGCTCAGCATTACAACTCAGGTGATACGTGTAGCTGAGGGACCACCGCCATGGCTCTTCGGGGAGAGCACATGAAAATCCCTACGTCTCACGCAGCACTACGCCCTGACGTCAGAATAGCTTCCCACCTCCCCGGCTCTTTCCAATGTGCATTTCCAGAGTTCTGGTGTAAACCTCATTGCACCGTGACAATCATCACAGCATGATCCCAGGAGTGATCCCTGGCAGGGTAACCAGAATGCTTCAGCCATGGGCTGGGAGACCGAAAGCTTGAGCCCCACTGCCTAGGACTGATGCCGAAACCTGAGCCCCACTGCCCAGGGCTGCCTGGGTGGGGGAGGCTCAGACTTTGGCTTTGGCCCTGGGCCCAGCAAGTCTAACACCAGGGTCAGTGTTCCCATTAAAACAGGCTCATGACCCAAATTAGGGTCCAAATGCGGCATCTGAGACCAGCTGCATTAGTTGGTTTAAATCATTTGGCTTTTTCTCTGCCTCTCAGCAGACAAGCTCTCTCTGCACTTTTTTGTTTCATTTCTTTAGCTTTAACAGATGCGGCTTTGCATGTTGTTAGCTGTAATTCCATGGCTTTATAGAAAATAACCTACCCCCACTTTATAAGGCTAGGTCCAAATCTGAGGGCAATTTACCACTGACCATTGCTCAGTCCTATGTTAATGTTTGAGCAAGGCCATAAAAGAATTACATCATATTACCTCTGACCAACTTTCAAGGCAACGGATCTTTATAAAGCCCAAGCAGTGGTTATTGGCAAGCTACATTCTCTCCCAACAAGGCCACAGAGAACATCTCCATCATGAGCTTCAACGGAAAGTTTGAACTGCAGTCCCATGAAAATTTTGAGCCTTTCATGAAGGCCCTTGGTAAGTGTCAAATAATGTAACTATGCTGACTGCGTTTTTTTCTTCCATTTGTCTGTAGTGTCCAGCATTGTTTAAAATTGCAAAATAACATTGTATGCAGGAAGCCAGGATTTAGACCAAAATCATTTCCATGTCTAATGTTGAATGTTACCTTGCTTTGTCTCTATGCATTCATGTGCATTTAAAATACATAACACTGTGCATGTGCACAAGTGCCTACACTTGTGAAAAGAACACACAAATGAGTAAGTCTGTATGGCTGACATGCTAGAAACACTGCATAAAATTCTCTGGGCTGTATTGTGCAGGAAATTGGTCTAAAATGATCATAATGATCCCTCCTGGTCTATAAATCTCTGGACCAGATCCTCAGCTACTGCAGACTGGCAGGAATTTCCATCTAAGCTAGTGGAGCTGTGACAATTTACTCTGACTGAGAAGCTCATCCTAGGAATCCATTAAAAGAATCTGATTGCCTGGACTCTTTTAATCTGTCACTCTGCTTTTTTTGTTTGGTTGGGTTTTTTTGTTTTTGTTTTTGTTTTTTTGAATGAAACCTCTGATTCCATTGCTCACCAAGAGATAGGTAAAATGGGCCATTTAATGAAGTGGCTGGAGGTAGATGTAGGGACCTACTTTTAGGCACTCCAGTTTGAAAATGTTGGCTTACATTTTCAATAACTTTCTAGCCAGGGTTTTTATTTTCTACAGCCTCTCTAGGTATTTATCACTGATGTGCTTTATCATTTGTTCCACATATTGTGACATGCCTTTTACCTTTCATGTGTACGACTGGCTTCAGGAATTTGAGGGATGCCACGCAGGATATTTTTGGGGACCCTACCCCTTCCACATCACCCCAAAATTTGTTGTCTTCTTCTCTCCTCCGTCCATTTTCTTCTGATTGATCTTTCCTTTCTCCTGAGACTTTCAAGGTGCAGGGAAGAGAGCAGGGGGTGGCATTGCTTCCTCTTTCTAATCAGTCTTGTAGGACAGGGAACAAGTCCTGAGGTGGAGACTGTCCCCAGACGAGGCTATGAATTGCGTTATTCATTGCACCCAAATAGCAGCTGACTGCATGGTCCTGTGCTAACTTAGGAAGTGTCCCTTAGAGTGGGACCACTGTGTACAAGTCAAGGAGCCTGCTCAGCCATGGATTTCACAGCCCTGAAAGCTGGCTTTGTGTGTGTGGCTTCCCCCATTTTCCCCGGTGGTAGCTCTCCTCAGATCATTCACTCAGCCTGGGCTTTTATTTCTGGCCAGGTCTCTCTGAGGAATTGATTGAAAAGGGCAAGGACATCAAGAGCATCTCAGACATCGTGCAGAATGGCAAAAAGTTCAAGGTCACCGTGACAACCGGCAGCAAAGTGCTGACCAATGAGTTCACTATTGGAGAGGAGGCCATGCTGGAGTCCCCAACAGGAGAGAAGGTCAAGGTAGGTACCCGGTCCTCCCTTTGTGTAAATCTGTGGGATGCTGATCATCTTCTATGGGGCGCTGAGCACCTTGAGAGGGCTCAGTGTCCTGTGGAAGGGCCTAGCAGGATCCTGCCCTTACACTGTGGCCCAGCAACACTGTCCCGCAGGAAGGGCTGAACGGACAATGCCTTGGGCCCCAGCACAATGATTACTGGGGGGGGAGGGGAGCTTGTAGCACTTTCTTTCCTTTTCATATAACCCAGAGGTGTCCAGATTTGCTCAGCTAACAGCCACAGCGTCAGCTTGCCAGGAGATCCTCCGGCTGCATGGAAACTGCTGGCCTACATTCTCAGCTCGTGTAAATGGGTGCAGCTCTGTTAACTTCCATGGGATTGCACCCATTTACACCGTCAAAGAATTTGGCCCCTGGTGTGTAATAAGGATGTGTGGTCCTCAGAAATTAGAGCTCCCTGCCTGCACATGGATCTAAGTGGAGCACTGCGTGCTGGTGTAACCCACACAGCTGCTGGGTGTGCGTCACTGTCCCATGTAGTGGCCCTCAGACTACCTACAGAGAAAGAGACTGAGCCTGTTCTGCACCTTGGCTGAGAGCCAGTTGGCTTTTAGCTCATGCAGTAGAGGCTCATGACCTGTCAGCATTACACCGGGACCTATAGTAACCATGGCCTGAGTCCCAGGAAGTAAAGTCAAGGTGACCGTGGATTGTACTGTGTAGCTTCATGGATTGAGCTTGGCTCACACTTCAGCCACATGAGTGAAGGGGAAGTCAAACTCCACACAGCCGCTGAAGGCAGCATTGCCCAATGGACAGGGCATCTACCCAGCTGGGTGGGGTGCTGTGCCTGGCTCTGCTTTAATCGGGCCGTCAGCAAGTTGTGTAAGGAAGGCTTACTCAGCCTGTGGCAGTGAGTCTCTATGCTGAGGTCAGCAGACTCAGGTTCCTGGGGCTCATGTCACAGCACTAAAAATAGCTGCGCAGAAGTTGCAGCTCAGGCTCTGAAGCCTGGGACGGGGTGGGCTTTGGAGCCCAACCTGCAGCTTACATATGCTATTGTTAGCCCCGTACCATGAGCCAGAGTCTGTGGCCCTGGCTGCGGCGCTCACTGCCGTGGGCTGCCACTGGCTGAGTCAGCAAAGTTTCAGAAGTGGCCTCTAGTGTAGGATGCCCCCGTTTCTGAGTGCCCTCTTGTAGAACCCCCTATTGTAGGGCTCCATTCTCAAAGGGGCTATGCACTTTCCATTGACTTTGGTTGGCTGCGTGGCTGCTCATTGTTCCTGGATTCCTACTTACACTCATCCCTCGGCACCTCTGAGAAGCAGACCTTGGATTTCTAAAGTCGGACGTCCAAAACAATAGGCTGCTCCTGGAAAGGTGGCCGTCGCTGCTCTTTCCCACCACTTCCCATATGTCATGTGCGAGAGCCACAAGGAACAAGCCTCTACACATGTGGCTACGGTTCTTCCAGCATCACCAGCTCAGAAAGGCTTGACGTTATGTAGTCGGGGTTCACAGAGCTGCACCCATTTCCATGAGTGGAGAATTAGCCCAGCAGCAGTGATGGGCTTTGATGCAGGCCGGCAAATGAAGGGTGTAGCTGTTAGTTTAGCAACTATAGGCCCCACCGAGTTCCATTTTAGTTAAAAAAGGTGATGATGAAAATGTGGCAGAAGATGTACAGGCATAAAATAAAACCCTGCTTTCTTAAAGAAGGAATATACGCAGGCACTTTGGCTGTTCTGACTGCTCCCTCCTCTGCCTCTCTTTGCATTTGGTGGGTGATTGTGGAATTTTATACCTCTTAAAACTGGATTCCTAGAGGGGGAAAGACAGATGCAGTGATTCACCAGACATTAAAGCCACAGCATTGGCAAATCCTTCCCCTCACCTTCTCGACTTCACCAGCAGGTGGCTTTCTACATGCTTTGAAGTCTGAAGAAATTCCTCAGTCACCTGAAATAGCGCTGCAATGCTACACATCTAGAGGTCTCTGTTATCCCACACACATTGTCCTAGGGATAGAGTCATGAACTTCTGGAGCAAACCGTAGGCCACCACCAATCGAGCTAAAGGAGAATTCTCTGCAAATGACGCTGTAAAAATTGTATCTTCCATATAACAGCCACTCAAAAACAGATGGATCAGTACTATTTGTATTATCATACTGCCGGGAAGCCCCAGTCATGGTTCAGGGCTTCACTGTGCTAGGCGCTGTACAAACATGGAACAAGAGGACATTCGCCTAAGAGCTTATAGTCTAAGGAGGTAGACAGATAATTAATGTTTTCCTATTGAAGGGTTTTATTTGTGTAATTTCATTTCTCAGTTGTGTTCAACCACTTAGTGGTTGCTACACAGGAACATCCTGGAAAGTTAGCCTGAAGAAACATAAGGTGTGACTTTGAAATGGATTAGTTACACCTCTTTAAACTCCTGTGTGAACATTCTCATTCAAAATTAAAGTAGCCTTAATTTGGTTTAGTTTAATTCAGTTCCAAAGTGAATTAAACTAAAAGGAATTAAGTCCACTTTAATTCTGCATTAACAGCAACCACGCAGGGATTTAATGAGATTTAACTAATCCACTTCAAATTCACGCCTTTATTAAATTTGGAGTCTTACACATAGGTGGGGGGGTTATTCTTGACCCCTCTCCCTGCCCCAGCTCTGGCTCCAGCCCTGCCTCTGAGCACCCAAGGGTTCTGTGCCTATGATCTTACATGTGCGTAATGTACTGACACATGAGTGCAAATTGGTCTTTATTCCTCAGGCGATAATGTTCATGTCTCTCTCCCCCCATCAGGCTGTTGTTCAAATGGAAGGAGACAATAAACTGGTCACAAACTTGAACAAAATCAAATCCATCACTGAAATAAATGGAGACATTGTCACCAATGTAAGTGCACAAGGTTACATAGAATGTGAGAATAATGCCATCACATAACATGTGGGAGTTTCTAATGGAGACTAGCAAGAGCAAGTAGCTGTTAGCATAAAATACTGACACTGAGAATCATTTTATACACTGGGCCAAAACGTCTGCAGCTATAAATTGGCATGTTTCTACTGACTTCAGTGGAGCCATGCTAATTCCCACCAGCTAAGGAACTTGCCTATGTGGGAGAATGTGTTATTTTACAGAGATCACTACAAATCTCTGTGTAATTTGGCCTTTTGTTAATGACCAATATCTACCAGGTAATTAAGTTTGGGTGGTCAATCAAGTGGCCATTTAAGGCCATTTTAATGAGAAGATATAAGATGATACATTCAGTGGACCTTTAAATATCCAGCTAGCATTGGGGTCACTGAAAAAGTGGGAATAAGCAAGTCTTCGGGTAAGTGAAGAATTTTTTTTGTGATCCTTATTTTAGACTAGAAGTTGTGGGAAATGAGTCTGTCTCAGAGAAAAGGGAAGCTCATATGAGTGGTTTCAAATAAGCAAGATCAAACTGTTCACAGAGTTTTAGAGTATTTATTAAAAGGGCTAGCTGCACAATTTAAATGAGATAGAGTTGGCTGTACTTGGGCCGCAAGTGTAGTGGCTGGTCTGCTAGATCAAGGCCTTGGTTTGTGTGATATTTGCAGACAACTTCAATGAAAGACTAAAACTTTGTGCTTTTTATTTGGTTTTTAGATAATGACCCTAGGAGACATCAGCTACACGAGAATCAGCAAGAGAATCTAGAGATACGGATACACACATTCTAGTGTGTAAAGTGCACCCAATAAAGTACAGTTTGTATTAAAGCCTCTTCGTTGTTATTGCTGTTAGCATCCTCATGGTCAGGTGGTGGCAGTGCTGTAATTCACAGAGGCCAGTTGTAAGAGCTGTATGGGTCATAGTCTCTATCCATTTCCCTACTGAACAACTCTCTGTATCACAAAAGTCCCCTGCAATTAGCACAGACTTGCTAGCAGGTGCAACCCAGACTGAACAGGCTATAGTGACCGCGCTGCTCTCTGGGCCATTTCGAATTTTCAGCCTGTCTTCCAAAGCACTCGTAAAACCGCTCCCAGTCATCCACAAATGTTATGTGTCCTCCCCACTCCATCAGCCAAGTCATTAATAACAGACTCTCCTGCAGGATCCAAGAGAGCCATCCTCCCAAATGGACAGTAAACCACTGATAACACCCTTTGCATAGGCAATGTGTGGGGGCCAGTCAGCAGCTGGCGGATCCCTAGCAGGGAGGAGGGGCTGGTGCTTGCAGTGATGGTCTGCCCCCTTCTTGCACTCACTGGCAGCAGTGGGGAAAGTGGAGCTATGACCCCAGTTCGCTGCGCTCCTCTGGCTGCGTCACTCAGGGAGGGGGCGGGACAGTCCTGCACTCCCCTGCAGGAAGCGGAGTGATGCGGCCGGGGAGCAAAGTGAACTGGGGCTGCCTTGCTCCACTTGTCCTGCTGCCTCTGAATGCCAGACAGGACTCCTGCTGCCGGCACCAGCTCTGCTAATCCTCCGGGCTGCGTCGCTCCAGAGAAGGGGAAGAGGCGGGGCGGGGAGAGGCAGGACCTGCTGTCCCTGCTCCCCTTCACCAGTCTCCTCTGACTCTTTGACTATGCTTTTTTTCAAGCAGTTGTGCACCCACCTTGTAGTAATTTCCTCCAGACCTCAATGCCGTAGCTTGCATATCAGAAAGTTATGTGGGGTTGTGTCCAAAAAACCAAGCTATAGCACAAGTGCTGCTGCCCGCCCCATCCGTGACTAGCCCAATAACCCTGCCAAAGAAGGAAATTAGACAGATTTGTATCATCTGCTCTGGACTAATCCATGCATACGTGCTGCCAGTCCACTTCCCCATAGGTTTGTGACCCCGCTCTGCCCCAGTCCCTGCCTCTCCACCCCCAGTCTCAGGAAGGCTTGCCCCATGTTTTGAAAAACACTATGGCAGAGCTTCTTAATATAGTCTTCCCTCTCTTGCCTTACGTGGGATGGGCATTCAGTGCACAGTTTGGGGATTTAAAGTGACACTTTGCTCCCCTGGACGTGTCATTGACCTCTGAAGAAACACTGACATGATTTCAAAGCTGTTCAGAGCTACTCATCCTGCTGGAGAGTCTGGAATTCATCTCACAAAGGAGTTTTCTTCTAGTATTGGGTTGGGGATCCCCAGCATTGGGGAAGGGGTTCCAAGCCCAAGCACATGCCAGTGCCCCTTTTAGGTGCGTCAAAGTAACTCTTGGAGGAAAATACCAGGCTTAACGATAGAACAACACTTTCACCTATTCCAGGGGAAGACCTTTACTGTGTGTTACAGACTGCCTTGCTCCAGAAACAGTATTCTCTGTAAGCTGAATGCTTGGGTGGCTACCCAGGAGAAGTCAAACGCCGCCCAGCTATTTAGCAGCCTCCCACAGCCAGCAGCATGTGTTTCCATCTGACATGGCTTGGTGCACATCACAAAATTTATTCTGTGCATGTGTAACCACCAGCAGGCAGATTTGAGCCTGAGATCACTGGAGCTTAGTGCAGGAACCTCTACAGCTTAAGCTATAAAGCCAGCTGGCTCTCAGCCTAGGCCAGGGGTGGCCAACCTGCGGCTCGCAAGCCATAGGTGACTCTTCACCCCTGAAAGTGCAGCTCGCAAAGCCTCCCCCATGTCTTTGCGAAGCCGCCCCATGCACCCCTGCAATCGGCCCCTAGCCCCAGCCCCCTGTACTCACTGGGTGCAGGGGAGCTGTCCAACAAAATGACACTGGCAAGATGCCGGCAGCTGATGGGAGCCTGATGTACAGTTTTTAAAGTGGCAGGGTCTCTTTTTTTTTTCTCCCAACAGTTTTGGTGCGGCTCTTTGCATTTTTTCTGACACTGTTGTAGCTTTCTTCATTTAATGGGTTGGCCACCTCTGGCATAAGCTGTAGAGCTCCATTGTTCTTATTTCTCACTGTAAGTGATCCAAGTGCCCCTACATGGCACAGTGAACCATACCAGGTATGTGGGTTACACATGGATGAAAAAAATGAGAGGAAACATTGGAGTACATCATAAAGAATTAGCTCATGGACAGATCTGTGCCAGGGCTTCCAAAGAGCCCCCAGTGCACCACACAGCACATTGCCCCCCACTGCACTCAGAATGATGAGTCCTGATGCATGGCCTCAGCTGTCCAGACGGCTGGTTGGTGCTTCCCTGACCTTTTATTATTATACCAATCTGTAATCCACTAACAGCCACCCTAGCTGCCTCCCATCCCACAGTGATTAGTGCGCGGTTACAGGCCACTTCACTTGAATAGGCCCTTGAATTATGTGTTAATCACTGATGCCAAACAATCTGCTACATCTTGTATGTAGCCATGACCACAGCTTTCTCTGAATTACTAAATTTAAATCACAGCCCTAGCAGTGTGGCCACTAGGATTGTAGGTAAGTCACCCCCTGAGGGGAATAGCTAACCATGCTGGGAGCCTGTTTACACTGGTGCTTTACATGGTGAGAATGGAGGATGGTTTTAAACACACTGAGCAAGAACATTACAGCACAGTAAAGTGGCAGTGTAAACAAACCCACACTGAGTTCTGCTCTACACTACAGACCTGTATCAGTGTAACTATATCACTCAGGGCGTGAAAAATCCACACCTTTGAGCCACACAGTTATTTCCATTAATCCAGGCAGAAAGTGCTGCATGGCCAGGAGAGCTTCTCCCACCACCATAGATACTGCTTCATGGGGAGGTAAATTAACACTCTCCTGTCGGGTTAGAGCATCTTTACGAAAGCACTACAGCCATACAGCTGCATTAGGGCAGCTACCCCAATTCAACCTTTTAAGTTTGTTTCCCAGACCTGAAGAAGAGCTCTGTGTAAGCTTGAAAGCTTGTCTCACCAACAGAGATTGGTCCAATAGAAGATATGACTTCGCCCACCTTGTGTCCTTGCATAGTTTTATGACCTTTAGTAACATCAGTAGCTATGGGTAATAGCAGTGGGTAGGAAATTCACATGCTTCAGGTGTGAAATGTTCACTGTTGGAGTCAAGAAAGAATGTCACCCCTTGGAATCATCTGGGATTGGCCAGACCGAAGGCCAGACACCATACACGATGGACTAATGTAAGGTGGGTGCTATGGGACGGATTCTCATCTGCATTACACCCATGTTCATTTAGAGTAACTGCAGCAAAGTCAATGAATATCGTGAGAAAAGAGCCTGACCTTATTTCATTGGCTTTTCTGGTCAGGAGCAGTGAGAAACTGCTTGAATATGCCCTTAATTTGATCTGCTATTCACCACTGGAGAGTTGGAGAATATGAGGTCTGAAATACTGACAGACAGAAAACACCCTTTTGTTTAAAAACCCTGTTTCTACAGCATTCACACAGGCTGACTTTTAGTGACAGGGCTGTGTTGACACATCCTTGTTGCTAAACGCTGTGTAGAGTAGACATAGCCAAAGAATAAAATCCACTGGCTGAAAGTTGAAGCTAGACAAATTCAGGCTAGAACAATGAGAGTAATTAACAATTGAAACAAACCACCAAGGGTTGCAGCAGATTCTCCATAAATGGCAATTTTAAAATCAAGATTGGACATTTTTAAAAAAAGACATGCTCTAATTAATTAATTAACAGGAATTAATTCAGGGAAGTCCTCTGGTCTGTGCTATTCAGGAGGTCAGACTCTGAGATTGATTAATCTGTACTTTACAGATGGAGAACACGAGAACCCAGGGACAGCCATATTGGGTTGGACCAAAGGCCCAACTAGCCCAGTATCCTGTCTTCTGACAGGATATTTGCCAAAAACTTGAGAGGCAATTATCAGAATAGGGCGATCATCAGGTGTTCCATCTCCTGTCACTCAGTCCCAGCATCTGGCAGTTAGAGGTTTAGGGACACCCAAAGCGTGGTGTTGCATCATGACCAATCCTAGTCTTCTATGACCATCTTGGCTAATAGCAATTGATAGACTTGTCCTCCATGAACTTATCTAATACTTTTTTTAATCCTATTATAGTTCACAACACCCCCTGGCAACGAGTTACACAAGTTGTGCATTGTGTGAAGAATATTTGGTTTGTCATAAACTTGTTTCCTATTAAGGCTGTGTCTAGACTACAAAGTTCTATCGGAAAAAGAGATGCAAATTGCAAACTTCTGAAAGAGGCTTTTCTGACAACTGGCCCATCTACACACAGCCAAATGTCAGAAAAAAAGCCTCTTTCGGAACATCCCTTCTTCCTCGTAGAATGAGGTTGCCAAGGATGCTAAAAAAATGCATCTGCTTTTCCAAATTTTTTTTCAGAGTTTTTCTGGGTGTAGCCTATCAAGTTACTTGCCTATCATGCTAATAATATGTTTGTGTTAATTTAAATTAATTTAGTAATAGCTAAAAGCTGTAAAGCAAGAAATCTTCTAAAAGCTGCTCTCAGGAGGCCCTGTGTGTTAGCTTGACCGATGTCTGGGTTCAAGTGTAATACACTAGGCCTTATGTCTGCCCATTGCAGTTTGTGAAGGCCCACTAATACTAGCACAGCAGCACTCAACTCCTTGGCAGGGACTTGGCCATTGACCCACCTGGATACAGGTCCGTGCCCTTTCTTAGTTGGGGCCAGGACATGTTGGTATATAAGAGTCTAGCAAGAGCCCCAAATTAGTGGTCCTTCTGCTTGTACCTATATGTCCGTGGGCATATACTGCTTGTCTTCCCCCACACAGTCAACCACAAGCCTTTTGGTGCCATGCATTGACTGGGCTGTGGCAGTCCAGATGCCATTAGGCATAGGAGCAGCATGGGTGCCGGACAGCCCAGCCCTAGGCCACCTGGTGAGTTGGGTACCCCGTCAGTGCAGTGATTCCTGCTCTAGGGAATAACAAAATGGTTCAGCCTCTGAATGCACTTTCCAATGAGCACCATGTCTGCATTAAGGCAGGGTTGCACTTGAATGAAAGAACATGCATAAGCTCACAGTCCAGCTCAAGTAATATGGGGCAATATTTTATCTTTGGTCCAGGCTGCAACAGGCCATTTTCAAGAGCAGCAGAAGCTGAGGTTAGCAGACTTCCATGGTTGAGACATGGTCTTACCCAGATTCCGGTCATAGCTTATTTATGGTTTTCCAGGACTGAAAAGGGGAACTTAGGTTTGGACCTTGCACCCACACAGGATGGTAGGAAAAATACCCTCAGACTCAGCAAATGTATCATTATATAAAAGTCCCAAAATAATTGAGTAAGGCTGAGTTAAGTAATCAGGTCACTGGTTGCAACAGATAACCACAAAGGCCCATGGCAACGAATTGACGTATATGATAATAAATTAAGAGCAATGATACATTTACCAATAAGAAAAGAACACTTCTGCATTAGAAACATCCCCTATTCAATATGCATAAAACATGTTATCATCAGGGTCACTTAGTATAAAAGTGAGACCCCAGCCAAGCGGCGAAAGGAAGGGGAAGATGTCGTCCTTGGAAGGGCCAGAAGGATGGCCCCTGGTGATGGGGAAGGTGAAGATAATGAGAAAGATGATGGGCTAACACCTAAGATTTTTCTAGAAGGAATGAGGTAAATATATGGTAAGGAAATATGGATGGACATTCCCTGTCCTATGAAATTGGGGTGTTTGTGACTGTGCTAACCATATTAATAAACTATAAATATTGTAAATATACAAGAGTTTCCATAGTGTGAGTGTTGCAACCATGCACGTCAGGGTTCCCAATTACTGTATAATTGAATACTGGGCCTGATCCTGGGACAAAGAACCTGTCAACCCTAAAGGTGGGTCATTAGAATGTAAACATAATCTTAGATCAGGCTACATGGGATACCTCGGATATCCTGGAAAAACTTTGCAGTCTAAACATACCCTAAATGATGGCACAGAAGACCAAAGACAAAGGTGAATCCAAACTGATGTCATTTACATTTCTTTCTAGCCTCAACAGAGTTCACATTTTCTTAGCTTAGACTGAACTCAAGATTTGGCTGGTAAGACTAACTGACTTTACCAAAGTCAATTGACACAGGCAAGATGGAACTCGGGTTATGCTAGTTCCCTTCCCATTGCACTAGGCCATATTCTCTACCACCAGAAAAATACAAACCAAACCTCACATTTCTTGAACCAAATCAAGGATGTAGGAAAGATATTGACAACGACACCTCTCATTCTCTTCCTAACGGAATCGTCACGCTACCCCCTCCAGCTGTGGTACTCACGGCAGGCCCCATCTTCACTTCCCTCACAAATTAACTTATACAGCTGGTTTAAGCAGGGTTTAAAGGTCATCGTATTTGAACAAGATAAGCACAACACAGTTTGACTGGCCAGCATGAATCGCGCCGAAGCACATTAGAACAACGACAATGCTCCAGCCCAGGTTGGGACGGGGAACTAACATAAGTAGGAGCAGCGAAGAGAACATCTCCCCCTCCTTTTACTATCAACAGATGGGAGCTGCCACACTCAGGACTTAGGGGAGCACTGTTTCTCCTCCACTCCCCACCCCACTGGTCGGCGTGATGGAAACCCCTCATTCTGTTTCAATCTGCCTTGGCCACTGGTTTGGACCTATACCAGAGCCCCATTTCCAATCATCCTAACTTACTTTGACTTCATCCATGCTGAGATTTAAACCCTTGTCTATGTAATTTTACTGGGCAGACCAGTGTCAGCTGAGCCATCATCGCCCTTGTTTATCAAGTCCTAGTGGTACCTAAATTCTTCTACCTAAGGTAGGATTTCTAATCAGTCTGCATACGAGTCATTGTACTGCCTAAAGTCTGCTACATCCGGCAGGTTAGTTCCTCCACTACAATGTTGTTCTGAGGAAAAGTGGCTTTAATTAAAACGTCCATGGTGCCAAACCCTAATAGCTTTCCTCAGTTTTCACTCCACCCTCACACACCCAAGAGTCCCTCTGAGCTGAAACCTGTTGTCTATACTTGTTTTTACTATGCTCTATCCCCATCTCACTTGGGCAAGCCCCCGCTGATTCCAGTGGAAGCTTTGCCTGAGAAAGAACCGATTGACAGACTGAGGACATCAGGACTTGGTTTTATTTGATGAGAACTGGACCTAAAATGAATTACTGCTGAAGCAAGGCTATAATGACCTTTTTATTATTTGTGGAAAGGAGATCTATTTTCCAGAGAAATTTCTAAGCTGGTGCTGTGAGCACCTAGAAGAGCCACTCCCAAGAGAGTGATGTGTTCCTAGTTAGATGGCACCGTGCTTATTGGAAATAACCTCTTCAGATCTGGAACAGAAAGGCCTGCTGCTCTACCAGCTGTGCAGGTATACAGGTTCTGGGAAGCTGTGGGGTTACTGCTTCGTGTGGAAGAGGCCTGACGAAGCTTCACTGGTGGGCTCAGGCATTACTTGGATCTTCTGGTTCTGCAGGGCTGCTTCTCTCATTTTGTAATACATGAACTCATTCTGTTGGAACATGCGCAGCTCCATCTCTGACTGGACACGCATGACCTGCAGGGATGAAATCAAGGGGCAGACCAAGAGATGAAAACTCTATGACAGTCGCTCTCAAAGTAAAAGAATAAAGTACCTTCTAAGGTAGGGTAGTGGCCTCCTGTGCCCCACTTCCATCAGATGGCTTAAAGTCAGTGCCATCTAATGATTATTCGGGGACATGGGAGGATGATCTCAGTCCGGTTCCATAACCCAGCCCTCATCAGGGAGGCCAAACACTGACTAAACAAGGAGCCTCAGGGCTGTCCCAGATCCAGTGGTGGTCCTTCTTAGGCTAGGCTGATTAATGGCAAGGCTGTGTGGGGCAGATGTCCCTGCTGTTGTCCACTGTAGCTCTACTGTAGACAAATATAGGTTCCCATTCCCAGAGCTGTCAACCCAGAGTTCTTCACGAGGCCAAATTTGCTACCAGTATTAGAAAATGGGACTGTCCGGCACCTGCATAGGCTGAGGAGGGGTACTAAGGACTCTTTTTAAACACCCCTCTCCTGGCTAGCTGGCCTTGGATACAGGGACACAGGGATCTGTGTGCTGTGAACTCACTGCTCTCCTCCTGGTGAAGATGGGCAGGGAGTTTCAGGGAACAAACAGCCCCGACTCCACCCTAAATACACCAGTAACTTACTGCTTCTGTAGGCCAGCAAAAAATTACTATCCCAGGCAAGAGAAGAGCATGGAATGAAGTGGGTTCCCAAAGCACAGTTCCTTTCCTAGGGAGCTTCTGGGACAGCACTGCAACACACTGCCCCTAGGATGGGCTGAGGAAATAAAATGCACATTTGGCAGTGGTTTTGGGCCTATACTACTGAGGTGGTTGCATAAAGACCTGTGAGTGTCTCATTCACACACACACACCAGTCACAGTGCCACAGGCCAAGGTCAGGTGGGGACAGAGCATACAAGAAAACACATCACTTCTCCAAAGGCCCAGCAAAGCCTACACCCAGCTCTGTGGCTAATCTAGAGCTGAGCAAAACAACTGTATCAGAAAAGGGCACTTTTTTTTTCCAATTTCCCAATACCACCTTTGGAAATGAAACCCTTTGTTCTGAAAGATCATTTTTCCTTAAAAATATCAACTGTGAGTTGAAATGTCCATTCAATGTGATCATTTTCATTTCAAATCTGCATTCCAGCATGAAACACTTCTTTTCGGATCACTAGCACGTTTCAAAATTTCCAATGTTATTATCGCCTTTTATTCCATGGGGGTTTTCAACGCTGTATTCTGACTTTTTCTCCCAACGTGGGCCCAAAATCAATGTGAAAACCCCACTATGCAAAGCAAGTTTTATCTGATCAGTTCTCAGTTTTTCAGGCATCTGTTTTGCCCATCTGTTTAAGTTTAACTCTTCGTAACCAGTGAGGCAACCCAGATTACCCAGACATGTGTCCAACTGTGCAAGGAACACTGGACACCTACCTCCAGGTCTTTGGTGATTGGATGGGTAGGTCCATGGGTCACCAGGAGAATAGCATAGGCTTTACAGATCATGCCATGCCCTGCTTCAATGAGGCTGGCATGCCAGTGCGTCACGCCAGCTCGCATCACTGCCATCCCTAACTGCGCGTTGTTGGGATGGTATATTTTCCTGGAAAAAACACGGAGAAATGTTATTGTGGTGGGAGTCTAACTTCCCACGTGTCAATATTACTGGACACACTATTTACTGGGAGCCAGATTCTGCCATGCATACTCACACAGAGTGCTACCTCAGTCCGTGAATGGACCCACTGCAATAAGTGGCACTACTATTCAGTGTGACAGAACCTGGCTGGGAACAAACATTGTGCTGATAATGCAGGCTCCAAAGATTTGCAACCCCACATTCCATTGGTCCAACTGCAGTCACGAGCCGATGCCACACTGCTAACAGGGCAGTTCCAACACCTGAAGCAATTGCTTGAATTTAAATGTAAACCTAATGCTTAGCTCTTATGGAGCACTTTCCATTTATGGATCTCAAAGCACTTTGCAAAGGAAGGAAAGTATCGCTGATCCCAGCAGAGTTGTCCTTACCCATGTACAGAATACGCAGTTGAGTAGGGCACCTGAAACTCTGCGGCACTCCTTTGTCTTAATGTCCACCCACCTACCTCCTCCTGTCCTTGTTCTGTGGCTCTGCTTGCTCTGGAGAGGATCTAGTTCACTTGAAAGTAAAGATGCCTGCCAGACCTATACATGAATTCCCAAACTGGTAAGCGTGAAGAAATTCTGAGTGGGAGGGGAGATGCGTGAGGCAACCCAGTTCTCCCCCCCATCAAGTTTTCCTGCCCCGGTCAGTTCCTTTTTTTTTTTTTTTGCTCAACGAGTTTTGTTATTTTGGGGGGAGGGCATAAGGGTTTTACAACCATCAAAAAGGGGGCATGATGCCGAAAAGTTTGGGAACCACTGGAACACTGAACCTGCGAAAGCTATTCAAGTGGTAACAAAGCCATTTAATGGGCATTTGCCAGACTCAGGTATAATCTATTGTGCAGGATCCTAGTTTACAATTAAAAAAAACAAACATCATTAATATGTTGTTGAAGATTATAATATCACATCTCTAAAAAATCATCATCCCCCTTGGCTGCCATTGGGCAGAGGGGCACCAGTTTAATAGTACTGCCTCGGCCCCATAAATCCTAAGGATGGCGCTGGTCCCCAGTTTTATAGATAAGGAATCTGAGTTGCAGCGAGGTGAAATGCCTTTCCCCATGTCGCTTAGCAGGTCAGCGCCAGAACCAAGGTTTTTACACAGGTTCCATTTCCGGGGAATCTGAGTTGCAGCCATGTGAAATGCCTTTCTCCATGTCACTTAGCAGGTCAGCGCAAGAGCCAAGGTTTTTACACAGGTTCCATTTCCAGGATTATGATGATCATTCCACTGGAATGCGCTCATAAAACAACAGTGATCAAAGGCGTTCAAAATGAAATTGGACAACATGGCAAACAAGACACTCCTGGAACAACGCTTCTTTGGCAGGAGGATGAATTAGGGGATGTAATAGGCCTTTTCCATGTCTAACGTCTATGATTTTTTTCAGGCAGTTTTCAAACCTGTGATTTCTAAAAATCTGTGCTCACTTTGCCATTTGAGCCAAACTTAGTCTGAGGGAGGACAAAACAAAAATTGGAGAGTCTGAGTCCAAACAGAATTAAACCCAAGCCACTTCTTCATAGCTTGGCAGGTTTTGCAATAGAAGCTTGTTTTAGTCAGTAAAGGGTATGTCTACACTAGCTCTAACTAGGCAAATGAGGGCAACCGGAGTTGCAAATGAAGCCTGGGATATAAATATCCCGGGCTTCATTTGCATGTTCCCGGGTGCCGCCATTTTTAAATCCCCCTTAGTCCGAACTCCTTGCCCACGGCTACATGCGACACCGAGTAGGTAGTTCAAATTAGAGATCCTAATTCGAATTACCGTTACTCCTCATTCCACAAGGAGTAACGGTAGTTTGAATTGGGATCTCTAATTTGAACTACCTACTCGGTGTCGCATGTAGCCGTGGGCAAGGAGTTCGGACTAAGGGGGATTTAAAAATGGCAGCGCCTGGGAACATGCAAATGAAGCCCGGGATTTAAATATCCCGGGCTTCATTTGCAACTCTGGTTGCCCTCATTTGCCTACCTAGCTCGAACTAACAAGCTAGTGTAGACATAACCTAAACAAGTAGAAACAGCATGTACAAAGAAAACGGCAATTTCCATCTGGTAGGACAGGACCATCGAAAGGAGATTGTATTAAAATTATGATAAGTATGCGGGAAGTGCTTGGGTAAGATGCTGCTGGGCCTGCTAAAAATGAAAGGAGATTCTAGATGGTTTGATACTTTTTCCAGACTAGCTGTGTATTTGTTTCTGGCCAATCTCCTCTTGGGCTATGTCTAGACTGCAAGCCTCTTTCAAAAGAGAGCGTCTAGACTGCACGCGGAACTTTCGAAAAAGCGGCTTGCTTTTTTGAAAGAAAGCACCCAGTGAGTCTGGATGCTCTCTTTCGAAGAAGCCCTATTTACATTCAAGAACGCCTTCTTTCGAAAGAGGAACTTTCGAAAAAAGGCGTTCTTCCTCGTGCAATGAGGTTTACCGCCGTCGAAAGAAAAGCCGCGTTCTTTCAATTTAATTTCGAAAGAACGCGGCTGCAGTCTAGACGCAGGTGAAGTTTTTTCGAAAAAAGGCTCTGCTGCTGGAAAGAAGGAAGGCAGCTTCCAGGTGGAGATGGCTCAACAAAGCAAGAGACTATTTTGCAATGGAAAAGCTCCCCAGCCAAAACAAGGTTGAATATGTTATTCCCTACAGGCCTGTCTCCTAATGTCCTCTTCCCCCCAGCACTTGAGTCCTTTAAAATGGGACTGGGCAAAGACACCAGGAAGTCAAGAGGGGATTTCTCCCCTGCCAAGTGTATTCTGGTAGGAACTTTTTCTTGTCTCCCCCTTCTCAAGTATCACGGGTGCCAGAGCTGGAGTTGTCCATTTTAGAGATGTGACAAGTTGGTCCAGAGCTCTGAGGAGGTATCAAGCATTCACTCTTTCAGCTGCTTAGCTGGCTGGTTCTTGCTCACGTGCTCAGGGTCTAACTGATCTCCCTGCATGTGGTCAGGAAGGAATTCCCCCCTGGGTCAGTTTGACAGATTTTGCACCTTTCTCTGCAGCCTGGAATGCAGGCGACTTGCCAGGATTATCTGGGTGTGTCTCATTTAATCGTTTCCCTGCCATTGTGAGGGTTTCGGGCACTGGTGCACCTCAGTCCCACCTGTTCTCTACCTCTTGCACATAGTACTCCTGTCTTCTATGGGTTCCATTTACTTTGGTCTGAGGTCAGTTGCTGGGCTTAGGGTGCGAGTGTGTGGGTGGGTGTTGGTGACCCATGATCTAGTCATGATTCCTTCTGCCCTTAAAAGCTGACTCTCACACTCCAGAATAAACTGCAAGGAACAATTAGTAGTGAGAGCAAGTGGCACAAGGTAAAAGGCAAGTCAAAATTTTGCACATGGTGCCACCTGTGCAGTCCACCAGAATTGTCTTCTCACAGTAGCAGAGATCACAGTACAGGAACACAGTGTGTTCTTTACATAACAATAGATTTTCATGTCTAATTTCTCTGGCTCACCCTCTAAGCAGCTCTGGGCAGCTTCTCAAACCAAAGAGATGGGCTAATTAAACCTGTCCAGTCCCCAACTAAAGTTGTAGGCAGGTAAATTGCAAAACCATCCTGCTTTGGAACTTTCCATTCTCAAAGGGAGCAGAACTCTCTCTTTGGTAATAAAAGCAGGGCCTGATTCTGAGCTCAGGGATGCAGATTGTACACCCATGTCACTCCATTGACCTTAATGGACTCACTCCTGTTTCACATCACTGTAAAGTGAGAGCAGAATCAGGTTCAGATTCTTAAAAATGTCTTAATTATATTATAGACTCAAAAAGAGCCAGCCTGAAAATTTGATCACCTACAGGTAACCATCAACCATCCTCTTTGCATAGCCTGCTGCTTCCTCAAACATCTGGAGATAGGAGAGCACTTCCGAAGCGATGCTCAGGATCCTGAGGAGGTAGATGTTGGTGTCTCCCAGCACAGGCTCCTGTTTCTTCAGACACTCCCGACAGAGCTTCACAACCTAGGCACCCATGAAAGGCAAATGAGTTCAAGAGATGTCAGAGCATTGCCTGCTCTAGAATTACCGACCAAGCACTACATCTTGTACGTTTCACATTTCTCCTGTTGCCTCCATAGCTGCTCTGCAGAGAGAGAGGCTCTGTTATACATAAGCGAGGAAAGTGAGAGGGAAGGGTACAAATGTAACCCACTGGTGAGTGAATCACCCGTTTCCCCTCCGTGCCCTTCCACAAAGGACTTGAGACTGTTACAACCTCACCAAGGGAGTCTTGGCTATGTCCCTGGTTCTGGAGCTCCCTGGTGTGTTGGCAAAGATGGCGGCCGTCATACAAACTTTCCCACCCTACTAAAGTGCATCAGCAGAGATATGGGACTGGATTGACCCCAGCTCTAAACCTCTCATGTGGTTGAGGTTCAATCTCTGTAAAATGGATCAGAGGGGAAAGACTGGATCTGCTCCCCTTGAACACTGGAGGAGTTTGGATCCAGATCAGAACCCTTGTGACTTGGTTCCATCCCTTCTTCATTTACCCTGGAGAGCAAGCGAGAGTGCTCCAGTGAGATAGGCAGCCCCAGTGGAAGGGTCACCTACTACCACACAGTGGACAGAGAGGAGGAGGAGGCCAAGATGAGCAGAGGAGAATGAAAGAGCCAGGGAGGAAGGAACTGGTGAATTTATATCAGTGTATTCATTCCTTGTCTGTCCCATAAATACTGACAACAAACTGACTCCTTTGCTGGAGTATGCAGCTATCCCCCTGCCTGAAGTATTGTTTCATAATATGACAACAAACACTGGCCGAGTCCGCCAGTGGCTCGGTGAGATCAAGTGCCCCAGGTGACCTTGCTTTCCCTGACGTTCTGCAGCAAGGAGAGACCAAAGACACCCTGACTTACTTCATGGTAGATCCCCTCGGAGCGGGCCTGGTTGATCTTCTCCAGGGTGTCCTTGGAGAACTGGAGAACGTCCTTCACTGCATCTGGGGAGGGCTGAGGACAGCATTGGAAAGCCATTGAAATGCATTCACTGCTGAAGTAGCACCTGTATTCCCCAGAATAGAACCAGGTGCCACACTGGGATCCTGTAAGCTTGCTACCATTAAGCTCAATAATAAAACTTTCACTGACTTCACTGGGAACAGGATCGGCCCCTTCCTGTACTAACCTGCAGACTGATTGTGCTCTCACCGGGATGCAGGGGGAGAGACCTGAGGGCTTGGCGGGGGAGGGGAGGCATGATTTTGTTGGCTGGGTCATATAAAATGTCAAAAGTTGGTGACTGGCCATTGGGAGATTCTTGCAAACCTCAGTGGGGGGGGATGAAAAAGTCTGAGAGTAGGAGACTGAGAATAAACTGCCCACAGTGAGGTTACCCAGAGTCACCAGGTGCTGCATGTGCACAATGTATGACAAGATTGGGGCCATCGATGGAAATTTCCATGGATTATACCAGGGAGGAATGTAACCCTATATCTTATTTATGTGTTAGAAAAACTTGTAGCATCTTGCGACAAAACCTGATTTCCTTCCTGGCTTTGAAAGCAAGCCCCTTCCAGGCCTCAGTGGCAGCTGCAAGCATTCCAGAACCACAAGTCAGCCCCCAAAATATCGAGGTTGTGTTAAAAATCATGAGATTTAACAACTAATTAATGTTGGGTTCTTTTCCTTTGCCTTCTGTTTTGAGTTCCCATTTCTTTGCAACCACAAGGGCTAGAAGCCTCCTTTTTTGTTTTTAAGGAAAGCTGACCCACCTATATCGTGAGTTTCACAATAAAAATCACAAGAGCTCACAACACTGATATGTGACCAGAAACCAAAGCAGTAGCCCTGGGTTTTGACCAAGGAATAGATTCTGATTCCTCCTGAAAGAGGAAAAGGGCTATGTCTACACTGGGGAAAGTTCCTGCGCAAGAACATCTTGTGCAAAGGTTCTTGTGCATGACTTCTTGCATAAGAACACGTCCACACTGCCATGTGTTTTTGCGCAAGAGCATCCATGACAGTGTGGACATTCCCTTGCACAAGAAAGCTCTGATGGCCATTTTAGCCATAGGGGTTTCTTGTGCAAGAAACCCCTGCTACGTGTGCACACTGCCCTCTTGCACAAAAACACATAGCAAGAGGGTTTACACTTGTTAGAAAAGAGCGTATCTCTTGCACAAGAAGCCCTGTCTTCTTGCGCAAGAGCGGGCGGGCAGTGTGGACGCTCTGCGGGTTCTTTTGTAAGACCAGCCGTTCTTGAACAAGAACCCGCGAGTGTAGACATAGCCTAAGTTTGCTCCATTGACTGCTCCTGACATCTGAACTGCGGGAGGTTTGAGGAATCTTTGTTAGATTTTGCTAAATTTGTGGAAATGGCCACTTGTGCCCTACTTAAATCGGTGTAAGAGCTCCTGCTGAGGAAGCGCTCTACTGGCAGAAGGAGGTCAGTGTGTATTACTGTGGAAGCTGTACATTGGCCTATATTAGGTCGACTTAATTTTGTAGTGTAGGCAAGGCCTTATTTCATGACAAGTTGGGGTGTGAATCCACCCCTCACTCTCTTGCCATGGTTTAACTGTTCCTGAGGGCACACACTAATTTGTTAAAGTGTTGTGATCTAGTCCTCTTTGAAACAGGACTTGGGTAAAGCCCATTAACAACCTGCCAAGCCACATCTCCAGGGTGCACGCAGTTAGGTATGTTAGGCTAGTGTGGCACAGAGTCACGTGACAGCTTGCTGTGATCTGTTCATGCAAACAAGCCCTTAGATAGACGTTGATGCTGGACGCTACAGAGGAGCCACACACACTGTGCTCTCTCAAGGAGACTTTACTTTGGTTCTTTCTTGTTGCTTTTTCTTTTATCTACATGAAGAGCCCTCTTGCACCGAAAGTACATGGTTGCACTTTGGGTTTGGAAACATCCTTCAAATGTTAAGTCTGTGAGGGGCAGGAACCATCTTTTTGTTCTGTTTGTACAGCGCCTCGCACAGTGGGGTCCTAATTCATGATGGGGGCACCCAGGTTCTGCTCCAATACAAATAGAAAAGAAATAGCACCATCCCATGACTGACAACGCCCATGATGTACCTTGTTTTCCCCTTCTTTCACAGCCAGCATCAGGTCATCTTTGATCCCTTTCTGGCAGTGCTCACACGTGCAGTCAAAATAGTACTGCTTCTTCAGCTGCTGCCTCCGCTCGCTGCTGACATTGAGGAAGTCGATGTAGGAGACGGTCAGCTCTTCCCCAGGTGAGATCTTACCCAGTGCCCGCAGCTCGATTCTGGGTTCAAATGAGAAGAGATGTGGAATTAGAAAGCCACGTATGAAACCCAGGCACTATTCACAGCACTGTACAGGACAGTTTCTACCGAGGATCTCGCCTCCCAGAGGCAAATGCTTGTTGAAAAGCAGGGGGGTTCTCAACCTGTTTCTTTCTGAAGCTCCCCCACCCATCACACAGCCCGCCTGTGCCACAGTAGCTGCTTTTCTGCATATAAAAGCCAGGGCTGGCATTAGAGGTAGCAAGCAGAGCAGTTGCTACCCCAAGCCCCCCCAGACTGCCCCTCAGTCAGCAGCCTGGTCCCAGCCCCCCAGCCAGTCTCCTCCTCCGGCCTTTCTCCTGCTTCCCAGGCAAAAGATGTCACCTAGTCACACACCCTCTCCTAGGCTGAGGTGACAAATGGGCTTTGACCACTTTGTACATGTGGGAAGCTATCACACCCAGAATTCCCTTCAACATCTAGGTACTGGTGCAGTGCCCTGGGAAACTGAGGCATGCACACACAGGGTTTGTCACACCAGCATTAAGGGGTAGCAAGCAGAGAAGCTGCCTGGGGCACTCTACCACAGGGCCCCCCACAAAACTACCCTGCTGAGGCTTCGGCTTCAGTGCCCAGTGGTGAGACTCAGGGCCACAGGCTCAGCCCCATGCAGTATGTTTCCTGTCTTGGGCCCCAGCAAGTCTAACACTGGCTCTATTTGACAGACCCCCTGAAACCTGCTCTCAGCCCCCAGGAGGCCCCAGAGCCCTGGCTGAGAGCGACTGTCTTGAAGGACCACTTTAACCCTTCGAATACTGAAAAAAATACACAGTTGTGCAGCATTTGAGCGATTCTAACACACCCTGTAAAAGTCCCATCCAAAGCCTTCACCCCCCTCTTGTCCCTCCCTGTGTCCTAACCCGAAGCTCACTTGAAAGTAGCAAAGCTGTGATGATCAGCTCTGGAGCCGCACATACAGTTATGGGATGACTCTAGATACAGCCCTTTATTACGGTATTTGGATGTGTTCAGGGCCACGGCGATGCCCCAGTTTACTGCGGCATCCCCTCCAATGAAGACACAGATACTCGATAGGCGAATTATGGTGATAGCTCTGCACTTTCCGATCATGCCTGCACCGTGGGACTGTTCAAAAAGCCCTAACTAAACCGCACCCTGCACACCCCAGCCAGGCAGCAGGGGACTTACTGTAAAATGTGGGGGGGATTCCTGAAAGGTAGGAGAGACTATTTTTTTCAAAGCCCTGGTTCAGGCATCGGAAAGGAACTTCCCCACGTCTTTACGCTCCACCGGTGTAGCAAACCCTTTGATGAAGGTGACCAAGCTTCAAAAATACGAGGCCAATCATTTTGAGACCAGGTTACTACTATCTTTACTGACTATACAGAAAACACCAATTGCTACTACTCTGGTGAAAGCTATGGTCATGGGCGTCAGCTATGTAAGGTGGGGGAAGGGTCTGCCTTCCCAAACCACCAGGAATAGCCCCCACTCCGCCCCCAGAACACCTACTGTAGGTTGCTGCCCCCAGTGCCCGCCTTCACAGTGCTCCAGGTCTGGGGAGGCTAAGGCTGGCCTCGTGGCACACCCTCCTCCCTCCCGCAGTGCTTGAGAGGCTGGGCTGGGTTTAACTGGGCCGCGTAGCACAGTGCGCCTTCCAGTGGGGCTAAGGAAGCTATGGCGAGCGCGCACCCACTCCCCTCCCCTCCATGTAGTTGGAAGGGGGGAGCACATGTGTGGCTCGCTGCCCCGCCTCCTGGGGTGAGGCCTAGCAGAAGAGGCAGGGCTGGAGGTGGAGCTGGGAGCTTGCCTCCCCCAGCCTTGTTTTCACCGACCACCCATGGCTATGGTGCTTTGCCTTTTCCTTTCCTCTCTTGGCATGTGTTTAAAAACCTGGGACACTCAAAAGTCCATTCTAGTTTGTGTCACAGGCCAATTTCTCCTCTCTTTTACGTGGGTGTGACCCCACTGAAGTTAATGTGCTTCTGTGGTGTAAATGAGAGGAGAATTTATCCCAACAGGGTTATCTAAGGTGGGGGAAAACCCATCAAGTGACTGTAAATAAGGCTTCCTAGTAGGAGTGGGGAACCTTTTTTTGTTTGGGGGGGGGAGGCTCACTAACCCATAGAAAAATCAGCTGGGGGCTGCACACAAGTGAGAAGCAAAACAGAAAAACCAAATCTCCACTGACGTGGCCCCCAACGGAGAAGGAGAAAGACACCCCCCACATTCCCTTCACACACCAGAGTGTAGGGAGGCCCAGGCTAGTAGATTTTTTTGCTCCAGCCCCACGGCGGGCTCCCCAAGGCTAGGAGGGACCCAAAAGCCTCAGGGGTCAGATCAAGGCTAGCCCCCGGGACTTAGGTTATCAACAAAGGTTCCTGCTTTATGGGATGGTTAAAAGTGCGAGGCTGTTTATATACGATATATTTGAGAGAGTTTGTGCATCTCTCACTCTGTCTGTCCCTCTGTCCATGTGTGAGTCTGTTTGTCTAAGAACGCCTCCTAAATGGTAACAGCTAGGACCACCAAATTCGACATGCAGCTTCCTCTTATCATACCTTAAAGCAAGGTAACAGTTTGATTGTAAGTGTGTGGGGGGGGGCGGGTCTGATGCTTCCCCCCATTCATATGGGGATGCATAAACCAAGCTCCTTCTAAACAGCCAGAGCTAGGACCACCTTCCTCAGGGTATGTCTACACTACCCTCCTAGTTTGAACTAGGAGGGTAATGTAGGCAAACCGCACTTGCAAATGAAGCCCGGGATTTGAATTTCCCGGGCTTCATTTGCATAGCTGCTTCGAACCCCGTGCAGCGCGGCTACACGGGGCTCGAACTAGGTAGTTCGGACTAGGTTCCTATTCCGAACTACCGTTACTCCTCGTGAAATGAGGTGTACCGGTAGTTCGGAATAGGCACCCTAGCTGGGCCCTAATGGACTAGTACAGCCTCAGCTGGGCTAAACTCCCCGGCCCTGGTTCAGGCCGGGGTCTGCCCTTTTCGAACCCCGTGCAGCGCGGCTACACGGGGCTCGAACTAGGTAGTTCGGACTAGGTTCCTATTCCGAACTACCGTTACTCCTCGTGAAATGAGGTGTACCGGTAGTTCGGAATAGGCACCCTAGCTGGGCCCTAATGGACTAGTACAGCCTCAGCTGGGCTAAACTCCCCGGCCCTGGTTCAGGCCGGGGTCTGCCCTTAAAGGGCCAGTGCAGGGCGAGCGCCCTGTCACAGAGCCCTAGGGAGTAATTACTTTCAACGGCTCTGGGGAGTAGCTCATTCGAAATAGCAGCAGTGGAGCATCCACACTACAGCTATTTCAAAATAGCTATTTTGGAATAGGCGTTATTCCTCATGGAATGAGGTTTACAGAAGTTGGAATAAACCATCCATTATTTCAAAATAATGGAATTGCTGTGTAGATGCTTGCATTGTTATTCCGAAGTAATGGGGCTGTGTAGACGCACCCTTAGTGAACAAAATGTATTTGGGCATAGTTTAGCATACTTACGTGTCAGCAAAATGGAGCTAGTTCAGAGATTGGATCTACAATACATTTTACCTTGTTTTAATCTATCAGGGTCCCAATCCTGCTAATACGTCACTGGTTAATTGCTTGATCCATCACGAAGGGCTGTGTACTTGTCTGCAAGGCCTGGGGATTTGTAGCAAATGAAGCCTACGCTTCAGCAAAGCGTGTCCAGAAAGCCCCCGTGGTCAGAGCAGGATAAAGCCCTACAAAGAGTGTTGTCTTGAGAGCAGCAGCTATGAGATTAGTTTGTAAGGAACAGAGCTAAATGGAGCAGCACAGCAGACATGAGCTGTAGGAAGGTGGTACCGCAGGAAATGAAACAATTTGAACAGTCATCCTCTTTTACTAAAGGTTTGAGCCTGCTCTAAGATCAACAAAACTCCTTCCATAACCTTTCCCCAGTCCCCCAAAATTCCAATGAACTTCCAGAGTTTGTAACCAATGCATGGTCCCCTTATGCCAACACAAGGCAGACAGAAAACAAAGCTGATCAGATATGACATCTGTAAACAAACATTAAACTCACTTGTCTGTTTTGCAGTCCTGGCTGAATGTAATGCATTGTGGAAACAAACAACATTCCAGCTTATCTGAAGAAGTGGGTTTTGCCCATGAAAGCTCATGGCACTATATATATTTTTGTTAGTCTCTTAGGCCATGTCTACACTAGGGAAGCATTTTGAAATTACTAAATTCAACTTAATAATTCCCAATTTAACAAATTTGAACTACTAGTGTGTCCAAGCCTTGAAATTAGTCCGAGGCAGGCTCTGTTAATATGGATGTGCTACCTCGGACTCAGAGCCCCAGGGAGCACTGGGGAGTAATTAGTTTGAATTACTCTGGGGAGTAATTAATTTGAAACAGCAGCACTATTTCAGCATCCACACTAATGCTATCTCAGAATTAGCATTACTCCCGATGAAAAGCAGGAGGTCAGACTTCGATTTTTGTGGCTCACTATTTTGAAATAATGGGCTTTGTAGTGTGGACACCCCACTTATAAATTGGATCTAAGAGGGGGTTATTTCAAAATAATTCCTTAGTGTAGACCAGGGCTAAGGTGCCACAGAGCTGCTTGTTGTAATTAATAGTGAAAGTCATTTAAAATATTTCAGTTCTAATTTAGGACAACTGCCTACTTGTTTTGGATGAAGATTGTATTGAAATCAATGGAGCTATACTAGTTTACATGTTAAAATTCTGGACCATAAACATTGCAATAGATGAAGTGCAATAAGAATTAAAAAAAAATAAAATACACCTTTAGAAATCCTTTAAAACCCACCAGAGAGAAATATATTTTGAACAGGTAACAGAGGCATAACGAAAAGGCAAAACAGGAAAAACTGTAAAGGTAAACGTGGGAGACATTTAAATCTCAGTGTAGTCAGTGCATCCAGAAGGAACTTTTTGTTACAAGGAAACACAGAGTATTTAGTTTGTCAGTAATGCAATCACTTGTCATCTCGTAATAAATCGGGTTTTATTGCAATTATTTGGGACTGGCCAGGGTTAGCGAGACCTTGTTGGACTTTCATGCTCTTGCTGCAGTTGAGAGGACAGGAGTGAAAAGAATGCAGACGGGAACTGTGGAGGGAGGTCAGAGGAAGGAAGGAAGGAAGGAAGGAAGGAAGAGAGAGAGAGGGCATTATCAAGTGGCAGGTCTGAGCATACGGAAGAGTGTCAGCTTTTTTTTTTTAAACTACCACAAAATGCAGAGGTTACAAAGGGAGGCTTTGGGTTTAGTGAGGTTTTACACATGGGGGGAAAAAAACCCTTTACATTCCAAGACTGAAGGAGAGTGAAACTGTCCACACACCGAGGCAGCTTAAAGTCTCATTATCATTGTCACTTGTGGCTGCCAGTTAATACAGGAGGTGAGGGGTAAAGGTCAAAGGGGGAGGATTATGCTTACAAGACCAACCCACCTCATCTGTGTGTGGAACATTGATCTTACAGCCTCATGACTGAAAGACAAAACAAACATCTGCAGTTTACACGGGTCACATGTACAGCACAAGCAATATGGAGTCAGCACATATAGTAAATGGAACAGGAGCTGCTCAAGGTCCAGGGGACAGACACAAATCCAGCTGCAGCGTGGAGTCTAAAGCGATATAACACTCCTCTGTCACTCTGCAGCTACTGGAACAGAATCGGTGGCCTGTGGCAGTTTCAGCTGCCACCTGTCCTGGCACTAGGATTTAAGGAGCGATCTGCATGTAAGCATGAAGGGGGAAATTGTGATATTCTGAAGAGATCAGCTCTGTCTGCAGTTAGTCTAGCCAGGCGCAGGTGTGGCATGCTAGGAACTGGACATATACAGGAAACCTCAGTCACTGGATCAGAGAGACTCATGTTTTGCAACATTATGGAAAAAACGGTTCTGATTTTTCTCAGTAAATCATCAATGACTCCATCAACACCATTAGACTGACAGTGGCTTAAATCAACATGAAAGGAAAATCAGGCCCGCTTGTTAGAAACATGGAACTGACCATACCTGATCAGCCCCATTAAAGATAATGGCAAAATACCCATTGACTTTCAGGCTCCATTACCTATTATCTTTTTCAGAGTAAGACAAGAAACCTCTACATGCACCTGACCAACTGTGAGAGGGGTGGAGAGTGGTCCTTCCTGACTCCCCAAGCGGTCAGCCGATGTCCAGAACAGTCTATTTGATTTACATGTTTACCCACTTTGCAAGTCTTGGTAAATTCATTGGGGGAAAAAACTGTGCATAGAGAGCTGGAGAATACCAGTGTCTGGCTGCTTTCTTTGACAAAGGATTTGGGAGAACAGTAACTAACCAGATAATGAATCATCTGTGAAGTCATGATTTAAACTATCTTAAAATGTATGACTTTTCCTGAAGAAAACCCCTCCACGTTTTCCAGGGAAGTTAATTCTGAAACTCAGCTAAAGCTGCCAGCAATGCCCCTTGGTTTGCCTTATGAACACTTGTTTCCTAAGCACTGTTCTGAGTCCTCCAACTCACACCACACCGAGCTCTGGAAATCTAGAGTTCAGATAGTAAAAGGCCTCAGGACACTTGTGAAACAGCAATGTTCAAAACAAAGGAGCAGAGTCTAAGCTCAGATGTGTGGTGAGCTGCGATATGAGTTTCTGTAACCGATTGCTAGTGCACTTAAACATTTTGGAGCGACTCCTTCCTCCGCACATCCCAGAACATGGGGGGCCAGGAGACCTTGTCTGCAGCAGAACTTCACTGACTCCACAATACAGAGGGGCAGGCTCTGGCAAGCCCATAAAGCAAATCCATTTCCTCTGTGCCTGGCAGAAGCCAGCTCCAGAAGGAGTCCTGGCCCAGGACTGGACAGTCAGTGTTTGGGAGCAGAGTGAGGGGAGACCACTGGATCAGCTATCACATGGATTCTTGGGATACAGGCAGTGTGGAAGCTAGTTCCACAGCTGTGGCTGGAGTAGCCAGCATAGAGAGGCTGCACTACCATCTTGGGAGCAGAGAGGAAAAGTTCCTGCAACCCAGGCCCTGGATAGATCTGTAGTGTGCAGCCCAGGTCTGTGCAGCAATGTTATGTGGTAATGGCAAATAATGACACAAGGAGTCACTTTTTTCTACCTCTCAATAAGGAAACTTTATTAGAAGCAGAAAACCAGTGTGATCCTGAAATCTACTCTTTCTTTGTTTCCTTGATGAGTTGCTGCCTCAAAACACCCCAGCCCTCTTCCTGCCACAGTTTAAAGAAATAACGCATCAGGTACCCTCATTTAGGGTATTTAGGGTGTGTGCACAATAGTGGAGTCCTAAAAAGATGCCACTGTTTGCCACGCATCTGAGTTTAGAATGCAGCTCAAAATGTTCTTCAGCTTTTGAAGGCAAACATTTGGCATGACAGATAACACTGCAAGTAACCCATGCATGGTGTGCAGTACATAGTGAAGGGGAACTGAAATGCCTTAAAAAACCCCCAAATGGTTTAAAGTCAATAAGAGAATGGGGGGGAGAAGGAGAGAGGGCATAAACATATAAACTAAATACATTGTCAAATAAACAAAACTATCAGTAACTCTTCTACAGTCCTGCCAAAGAGCCAAGAGCAGATGTCAAAGTTGTTGACTTCACTACTTTGTTTATCTATCTATATTCCTATATGGTCCCATCACCATGAAACAAGTGGAAAGTCTCCCATTGACTCCAAGAATCTTTGGATCAGGCCCTGTCTCCCCAAATCTAACAGTTCTTGCTCTTTCCTCCTTCCCCACTGGTGAGTCTAAAAACTTGAATGGTCAGTAGATGCTCGGAGGATTATAGCCTGATTCCTGGCACTCCTAATGCTTCCAGTAGGAGTTTGGGTACATAAGGCAGATAATTAAGGGAACACTGTTGGGCTGATTGATTGAGGCCCAACATTTAATTTAACGCCTTTGATCGATGCAGATGTTCTGAGGTTTTCTTATTTCAATGAAAGTGACAGCACTTTTTGCTTGGATTTATACACCCTGTGCAAGATCTGCAGCTGGTCAGTATAAGTCAATGAAGCAATGCCCATCCACACCAGCTGAGGATATGGCCTTCCATGTACATTAAAATCTTCAAGCCTGATCCCAAGAGGTGCTGAACACACACCTCTCCAATTGACTTGGATGGACAAATGTACTGGCAGCTGGCAACCTACCAGCCCTACCCAACTGGTCTGTCGGCACCGTGTTTCCCATTGAAGCTTGCACAATCCCTTTCGGTCTCTGCTATATTTGTCAGGTGACCTCAAGAGGAACTGTGGGTCCTCAGACCCATATTTTCATGGTTTCAATTCACACACAATCTCGAATTATATCAAGGTTCCAATTATAAATAGTTTATTAGGGGTAAACAAGATGTTACAAGATTACAAGATGTTATCAGCATGCCGGAGTCATGAGCAATTTGTGTTGTAGATGGTTATAAACTCATCAAGGTATGATATGTGGTTATAAGCCACAGTTACAAGCAACCTATTGACCTGGACTCATCTAACAATTGCTTTATGATAATCATCCAGTAACTGTTCATAAATTATTTATAAATGGAGCCTTATATAACCTATCTATAACCTGTATGTCTTGTTACTATTTTACTCCATTTCAGTGTGATGGAACTGCTCCAAAGCCTACTAAAATCAGTGGAAACTGAAAATAATGTCAGTGTCTTTGGACCAGGCCTGTTAGTTGCATTTGGCGTACTTGTTTTGTGTACCAAAAAGCAATAGGAACAAAAAAAGGAGAAAAGCAGCAGCTCTGCAGCTCACCACAAAGGAGTCTGGCTTTCTTGTGTCACCATTTTGTTTTCCGTGAACAAAAGAGGAAGCCAAGGGACTTTCCCGGGTGCCCCAGGCAAGGCTTGGAACCAGATCTGGGGAACGAATCAAGCACTGGGACAGATGTCCTCCCTTCCCTGCCAAGCCCCTTAGAATGGAAACGTACTCACTTGCCGTTGTTGAATATCACCGTGCTGTTAGGCCAACAGTCATGGTTCACCAGGCAGAGATTGGGGAAGATGCCCACACCGACAGCCTGCAGTCCCCTTTGGTCACTCAGGGTGAAGCCATTGCAGTTTATCTAGTCCCCAAAATATAGGCAAAAAGTATATATATTAGAGGAGGAGAATAATGGTGAAATCTTGGCCTTGCTGAACTCAATGTAATTGGGTGTTTTGTCATTGACTTCAATGAGACTCAAATAGCACCCTAGATTTTGGAATATTTTCCAATGAGTCTTCCTAAAATGTGTTTTCTGTGCTCCAAGCCTTCAAAGAGACAGACAGACAGAGGCAGTGCTAGAAACAACACCCTTTCGCCTGGCCAAAGCACTAGGAAACTCACAATGCAGAACTCGGGAAGAGAGACTGCATGATCTGTCTGCTAAAACTTATTTCCATTTTTAAATGCTGTTGGTTTGAGTGTGTTCAAGCTCCTTCTGGTTCACTTTCTGCAAATATTCTAGCAAATGAGTCTCCTGGGAAAAGGGAAGTTTAAATGATTTGTGAAGAACAGTCACAGGAAACAAATTTCAAATTTGTGAGACTGTCTGTATCAACCTAAATCTACTGACTACACCCACCCAATCTGAGAACACACCGATGCCATGTGACCGATGTATCCAAACAAAACAAACTCAATTTGCAATGAATTTAGTCTATTTCATCCTGGTAATGCCCAAATGACCGACAGACTAAGAATTGTTTACAGTCATTATTCACTAGTTATACTAATTTCAGTGACAAAATTACACGAATTTAAGTGACACGAAAAGTAATTTGTTCTCAGACAATTTGCAGGCAGACATTGAGGGGAAATTTGTGAAATGAACTGTTCACTAGGAAATCATTCACTCCACTACTAACAATTCCATTTCCTTTCCTGGCCTCCCTGACGCTATCCTCCAGCCAATGATAAGCAGAGCGTGGTCCAGAAGTTAGCAGAGGTAAGAGGGATTCTGGACTTCATTATTCCTGGCTTTGCTCCAATCCATTGGACCAGGTTCCCTTTGCTAGAGCAGCATAGAGATAGCAGAGACTGGCTCCTTCCCCCTAGCTGGGGATTCCTCCAGCAGGCTGAGAGCCAGCATAGTCAGGTCTAATGCAACCATCCCATTAGCCCCTGGTACAGGGAGAAGGGATCACGGGGCATACTTTGTCCAACTGGCCATAGCTGGAAATGTTTTTTTGGAACTGTCACCAGCTGGAGTATGTTACATCAACCTCATGTCAACTCTCACCAGTACCAAAGCCAGGCAGAGAGTCAGAGCCATACCTGGTCACTGAGGTCCCCAAGGGCCAACTTTCTCATTGCCCGGGGGGTGCTCAAATGCCTAATCCAGCGTAGGCCCTGCACCCACCCACTTCTCATAAGGCCCCACTGCCTCTTCCCACCCCCAATTGGCCGCCACCCTGCCCCATTCCACTTCTTCCCCAGAGTGAGCCTCACCCTTGCTCTGCCCTTCCCCTCCCAGCTCCTCCTGTCCATGTTGAACAGCTGATCCACAGCAGATGGGAGAGAAGGAGCTGATTGGTGCGGCCTGCCAGCAAGCAGGAGGGCAGGGGAGGAGGTGATCCAGAGGTGAAAGTAAACAGGTGCGCCCCAGTGTGCAGCTATGGCAAGAGCAGGCTGAGCTGCAGCAAAAGCCAGCAGGGAGCTACTTAAAGAGCTGGCAGGATTGCAACAGGACAGTACCTGTAAGAAGTTTTATGGCCTGTAAGAAGTTTTATGGCCCAGTTTAGCTAACCATCTTGTTAGTCTTTAAAGTGCTACATTGTCCTGCATTTAGCTAAGTGTAAGCATGGTCAGGATAAGCTCTACTCTGACATCTGGTGGTGAATTGTGGCGAGTAGTGCAAAAGACTTCAGGGGCTGATTTTGTTTGCATAGGCACACCCGGGCCGGCCTGAGCCATTTTGGTGCCCCGGGACCCCAGACGGGCGGTGACGCCCTGGGCGCATGGCACGTGGGCCCGCCTTCGGGTGCACAGTGCATG